CACTCAGCATAATGTCCTCCAAGTTCATCCATATTATGTGGTGTTTTGCAGATTCTACATTATTCTTTAGTGTTGCGTAGTATTCCATTGTGTGAATGTACCAAAGTTTGGTTATCCATTCTTCTGTTGCTGGGCACTTAGGTTGTTTCCATCTTTCGGCTATTGTAAATAGTGCTGTGATGAATATGGGTGTGCATATATCCATTCTTGTCCTGGCTCTCACTTCTTTAGGATATATACCTAGCAATGGGATTGCTGGGTCAAATGGTATTTCTAATTTCAGCTTTTTAAGGAATCGCCATATTGCTTTCCACAGTGGTTCTATCATTTTATAGTCCCACCAGCAGTGTATGAGAGTCCCAATCTCTCCACATCCTTGCTAGCATTTGTTATTTTCTGTCCTGTTGAACTTTGCCATTAGTGCTGGGTCAAGATGGTATCTCATTGTTGTTTTGATTTGCATTTCTTTAATGGTTAATGATCATGAGCATTTCTTAATATGTTTGTTGGCCACCTGAATATCCTCCTTGGTGAAGTCATGTCTTCTACCCATTTTTTATTGGATTATTTGTCTTTTGGTTATTGAGGTGTTGGAGTTTTCTATAAATTCTAGAGAGAAGTCCCTTGTCAGATATGTCATTGCTGAGTATTTTTTCCCAATCTGTAGATTCTTTTTTGACTCTTTTGGAGAAGTCTTTCCAAGCACATAAAAATTTAATTTTTAGAAGGTCCAAGTTAATGGACAATTTTTAAGGCTTTTGTGTGTGAAGTATGTTACAAAGTATTATAAAGACTCCTTTTATGAACGAAACAATTGAGGGAAAACCATCAACCAGAAGAGATGAGGACAGACCAATACTGGCAATGATTGGGAAGGGTGACGATTTAAAATACAGTCCTTTTTAATTCAGCGGTAGCTTCTCAGCACCTGTGTATTCACTTGCCATTCTTTCAAGTGCCGTTTAAAAACCAATTGCTGTGAATGACTCATGGCGCCCCCACGTGTGTCAGAGTACAACTTGCTCCACAGGGTTTTCAGTGGCTGGTATTTTGAAAGTAGGCCTTGCTTTCCAGACTCCTCTGCATGGACTGGTTAGTAACCAAGCGAGTTAAATGTTCGCACCACCCAGGGGCTCTCCGTTACAGCCATGTGTGAACAAGTGGTCCGTTCCTACAAGGTGCGAGCCCTTTAAGGGGAGGTGGCGGAGGCAGCAGCGGCGGCCGGAAGTGGGCCGCACGCGGCCCCACGTGGCTTCTACTGGCGCCCATCTGGGCTTGCGTGGCCATGGACGTGGGCGCGGAGGAGTTCGAACAGATTCTCCCGCTGCTGCAGGAGCTGGTCTTGGGTGCGGACTTCGTGGGTGAGGCGCTTGGAACCCCAGTGGAGAGTCGTAGGGGACAGGGAGGGGCGTCCGGGGACCGGAGACTGGGCAACCGGAAGGGGCGTTGGGCCCAGGCCAGGGGCTCCGTGCCCTCCGAAGGCTCCATCCTAAGCAAGGCCCGGCCTCCCCTGAGGGTTCCAGGGCGCCCCGCGCGGGGAGCCGAGCCAGTCATAGCTCGCGCGTTGGCGAAGCCCCGTGGTACCAGCGGGGTGGGCGTTTGGACTCGGTGGCCAGGCTTCCTCGTTTCCCCTCCTGACCGTATCTGGCTTCTTGGGCACCAAGAACGTTTGCCACCTGAAGCGTTTTAGGGCGTAAAGACCGGCGCCATGTCTCCAGGACTCTCGTCTTTTCTACTCCCCTCCTTTCTCAGGGCTGGATATAGAGTTCACCGGCCTACGCTCCAGCCTGTCTGGGCCTCAGATCAGGTAAAGTGCTAACGCTGGCTTGGAGCTGAGCTCAGGGTGACAGACCCGTGTCCCCTGTGGGTGCCATTCTGGCATCGGGGTGGGGGGCAGGACAACGGGGTGTGCAGTGCCCCACGTGCAGGCTGAGTAACAGGGAACAGCGCTGCCCAGCAGAGGGGCGGACGGCGGCTGGACGTTCACTCCGCGTTGCCTGTGGCTTGATTGACGCGCTTCTTTCCCGCAGTCTGTTTGACTTGCCGTCGGAGTGGTATCTGAAGACCCGGCAGAGTGTCCACCAGTTTACCATCTGTCAGATTGGTGAGTTAAACGTTCAGCTCAACTCTTGGTAATGGAAGAAGCTATTTTGATTCTTTTGTGTGTCCTAGTGGTAAAAGCAGCCTTGTCACTTGAATTTAGAGGTAGTCGCCATAGTTTAGCCCGTTTGGTTTGGTTTGGGCATGCAAGGAGCTCTGGGGTACAGTGGGTAAGGCATTTGGCTGCTAACCGGAGGGTGGGTGGTTCAAACCCACCAGCTGCTCTGCCAGGGGAAGGTGAGGCGGTATTATCTAAAGATGAGAATTTCCATGAGTGGGAATCAGTGGGTTTGAGTGTTTGATGCCTGTGGGATCTGACGCTTTGGACCAAGCAGAAACTTAAAGTAGACTGTCTTAGTTACCTAGTGCTGCTATAACAGAAACACCACGTGTGGGGCTCGGGACCATGGTCACAGGGGACAGCAAGCTCAAGTGGCATAACGTACTACACAAAACTTTGTTCCACCTCCTACTTTGGCGAGTTGCGACTGGGTTCTTAAAAGCTTGCAAGCAGCCATCTAGTTGCAACAATAGGTCTCTCCTTGTCCAAAGCAAAGAAGAATGAAGAAAACCAAAGACACGTGAAAACAATTACTCCAAGCACCTCAGCCGATCCAACTCCGGCGATCCTCAGCCGATACAACTATGGGCCCAGAAGAATTAGATGGTCCCTGGCTACCACCTCAGCCACTCGGAGGGGGAATCTATGTAGGAGATCCTGGATAGAGTGGGAGAACAATGTGGAACAAAACTCAAAATCATTTAAAAACAAAAAAAGGGGGGGAGCAGGTTTGCTCGTCTGATGGAGCCTGATGGTACCACTGAGACTGTGGCCCCTAGCTTCCCTTCAGGTCTGGAATTGAACCCACTCCTGTGGCTTCCAGCCAAACAAAAGATAGGCATATGAGCTGAACATTTACACTAGGCAGATACACTCTTTGGAGAGAACAGTTATGGGAGAATAGGAGGGCTGTGTATGCATAGGGACATAACTCAGGGAGCAGGTGTACAGGGAGGGAGTGACTAGGGGGAGGAAGTGGGAGGGGAGCTGTTGCATTGTGGGAAATTGTAGTCAATGTCATGAGACAAAGTGTATGTGAACTGTGGTAAGAAAAGTGAATTTGCCCTGTAAACTTTCACCCAAATCACAATTAAAAAAAAAAACAAAAACAAACCACACATGGGTGACTTTAACAAACTAGTTTATTTTCTCACGGTTTAGAATGCTAGAAGTCTGAATTCAGGGTGTTGGCTCTAGGGGAAGGCTTTCTCTGTCGGTTCCGGTGAAAGTCCTCGCTCCTTGGTGATCTTCACGTGTCTGTCTTTTCCCACATTTCTGCTGCCTTAATTTGCTCCTTTTGTATCTTAGAATATTGACTGGAGACTCACCCTACACTGAGCCCACCTCATTAACATAACAAAGATAACTCCTTCCCAAATGGGATTGAAATCATAGGCATAGAGGTTGGGATTTACAACACACATTTTTTGGGGACACAATTCAATCCATAACGATGACTAAATGCCAAAATAACATTAAGGGCCTGTTGCTGTTACCTGTTTCTTGCCCAACTTTCAAGGAAAAATGTGTTTAATTTTTATTTTTTAAAGCAAATGCACCCAAACAAGATCATCCTGTGAACATTTTGCTGTGCACCTTGCTTTTTCCATGGAATGGGGTTTGGAGCTCTTCCTGTACAGATCTCTTGTTCATTTTTAACAGGTGCATAGTATTCTAATCTGAATAAGTTTATTCATTCAATCTCCTGATAATGCATGTGTTTTTTTACCATTTGTGTACAGTAAACCTTGGTATTTATGTATCACTGTACTTTCATTCATTTCTGAATCTGCTAAACTTGTCACAGTGGAATAGCAGAGTTAGAGGGTGTCCTTTAAAGGATTGACGTATGTTGTCAAACTTCTTCCTGCCAGTCTTCCACAAAGTTCATAGTGATTTGCACTAACAGTAGCAGAGAATGTCTGTTTGCCTCACCAACATGCTTAACATTTTTGCCCACCCAGTAGAGGAAACATAAGCAAATTCCTATATTGATTTACATTTTAAAACACAGAGGTTGGCCAACTTTTTCTGTGAATGGCTATATAGTCAGCATTTTAGACTTTGTGGGCTGTTTTTCTTTGTTAAACAAAATAAAACAGTTGACGCCACCAAGTTGATTCAGACTCACAGTGACCCCATGTGTGTCAGAGTAAAGCTGTGGTCCATGGGGTTTTCAGTGGCTGATTTTTTGGAAGTAGTTCCCCAGGCCATTCTCGGGGTATCTCTGAGTGGATTTGAACCTCCAGCCTTTTGGTTAGCAGCCAAACCTACCAATTGTGTGCACTACCCAGAGACTCTATTGAAACCAAACTGAACCCGCTGCCATTGAGTCAATTCTGACTCATAGCAACCCTATAGGATAGAGTAGAACTGGGTTTCCAAGGCTGAAAATCTTTGCAGAAGCAGACTGCTTCATCTTTCTCCCAAAGAGTGGCCAATGGATTTGAACTGTTGACCTTTTCCTTAGCAGCTAAATGCTTTTGTACCACCAGAGCT